TAAACATGAGTTGGACCCAGTAAGCTACACGGAAGCGTGAACTGATGTGGATACAGATCGTTTTGGTGAGTTACTATGAAATCAGAGTTGGAATCTATGTATTCTAATAAATTCTGGGATCTTGTAGAACTTTCTAGTAGGGTGATTCCTATGGAAGGCAAGTTAATCTACAAAAAGATACCAGAAGATTTCTTAGTGAATAAATCATGAGTATACAAGGGAATGTTATTATTTTTCTTAATTCTATATATTGATGACATCCTACTCATTTATAATGACGTGGAAGTTTTGTCATCAATTATAAGGTAGTTGTTCAATTACTTTTAAATGAAGGATTTTCAAGATGTAAGCTATATTCCTAGGATCAAGCTTTTGCAAGATCAGGTTAAAAGGAAAATAGGCTTATCTTAATAATCCTACATTGATAAAGTTTTGACCAGGTTTGGTATGCATAACTCAAAGAATGAGTTCTTGCTTTATTGATATGGATCGCTCTCTCTAGTAAGTAGTTTTTCAAGACTAGCAGAGGAGATTGAGCAAATGAGACTGGAACAATATGTTTCGGCATATGAGAGTCTCATATATGCCATGGTCTATACCAAACAGGACATCCGCTACATGGTAGGGATAGTCAGTAGAGATCAGTCCAATACTGGACTTGACAACTGGTCTATTGTGAAAAATATCATTAAGTACCTAAGGAGAATCAATGATATCATACCCATTTATGGATGTGATGATATGGTCCTAGTCAGGTATGCTAGTTCTGATTTTCAATCAGAAGTAGATACTATGAGGTTCATGACTTAGTGTATGTTCACTTAATGGAAGGGAAATCAGTTGGTAGATTGTCAAACAGATTTCAACTGTTGACTCAAACCTGCAGGTGGAACATATTGCAGCCTTAAAGGTGGCAATATAAGCCTATTGGTTTGATCTCACTGATTTAGAGGTTGTGGAGCATACTAGCCTGCCTATCGAGCTATATTGTGACAATAGTGCAGAAGTAGTCCAAACCAATGACACAAGGTTCCATAGAGGAACAAGATACACTGAGAGGAAGTATCATGTTCGACATGATATTGTCCGGCAAGAAAATGCACTTGTAGTTAAAACATTGCATTGGAACACAACTTTGTTGATCCATTATCAAAGGTGTGATTGATCAATAATTTTGATCATCATCTGGATAACATTGAAGTTAGGTGCAATTTGAATTGGCTATGAGGGCAAGTGGGAGCTGTTGGGATTTATATGCCCTGGCATAGCAAATTCCTATCTGGATTGTATTGACATATGTTCCTGACATATCTAAAATATTTATGATTTATATAATTGGTGAATTCAATGTATTATGTTTCAATTCACTATGAAATTGATAGTGTCCAGTTAATTACAAGAAATATTTATATATATGTATGTGATGACAATCAATGCATGATATATAAATAGTAATTATAAATTGTTCATAGTCGGTAATTATGGATGGACTCATAATTAATTAAGACTTGAACTGGATCCGCGTTAGGTTGAGATATATTGCGAGAGCCGTCGTATGCAATTACTCCCTATCACCGTCATGGCATTTGACTCTTAAGCATGAAAAAAGTATAGACTCTTTTATTAATTAATAATTACTTTGATTTGTTCGGCGGATTCTTCGGGATCCTTAGACCGACACTTTGGGTAGTTATGTAATTAATAGTTAGAGGGTTATATTTTCAATATTTGCATCATTGCTACTTGTATTTATTTTGTATTGATTATGGTTGATCACAAAGTAAATTCGAAGGCCTTCGTGTGTTTTTAGACAAAATGATTTATTATATATTTATTTATTTAAATTATTATTTTTGTCAAACAAATGTTTTATTGTGATCGAGCCAGAAATAATCAAAGGTACCAAAATAAATATATTATTAAGTAGTCGGATTGATGGCTATATTTATCCGATAACTAATTATGCATAGAGGGGTCAAAGTGCAATATTGACTTAGAGGTTATTTATTATTTAATTGGAGTTCAATTAATTTCTTTTAGTGGAGTAGAAATTAATTTATGAATTAATTGAATTGGGTCCATGGACCGGGCCAATTATTAATTCATTGTAGCCAATAAAATAATAGGCCCAATGGATTCTCACTCATAGCCCAACTTGATATTTGAATCATATTAGATTTGAGACATATGAATTAGAGATGGAGAAGGATTTGTTGTTTCCTTTTCTTTATTTTTATGTTGCCTATAAATATACATGGTCTATGTATATTTTAGGGTGTGATTTTTATGAGAAGGAAAAAGGAATAAATTTTCTCTCTCTAGAAAATTAGGGTTTATGTTCTCATCTAATGGAGGCTCCCACAAGCTTAGTTTTCCAAGGTCATTCATGGAGGCATATGAGTGATTCCTAAAGGCAAAAGAATTACCAAGAAGATGGAGATCCATGGAAAAGGTGTCTAGCAAAAGGGATCTACAATAAGTGAGAACATTCACTTTAGAGGAGAGATCTAAGGTTTACTCAAACCTTGATGTAAGTATTCAATCTTTTAATTGAATGATACATCATGTTTTATTTTTGCATAAAACTTGTCTCTAAGTGATGAATCAAGATCTATGAATTTAAATCCCTCGAAAAGTTTTTAAAACTAGCACGTTTCCCAACACAAGTGACTTGGAAACGTCAAATTATATCTGGGTACTGATGAACTATGTGCCGCTTGTCTTATAAGATACAAGGTTACGGCGAATCGCCTTTGTGTAATACTCTCTCTGACTAAAAAATACATCTATACTATATAAATGCTAAATTAGGTACAATCCAAACCAAATAGTTCGGACCAATCTTAATATAGCTCGATAAAATTGGATTAAGGTCTAAGTGACTTGGACCACTTATGGTTTGAACCTACTTGGATTGGGTTCAAGTCTAGAGACTTACATAGGGAGAGAAGAAAATGAATTGAACGATTGAATTATGGCAGCCTAAGGGGTTATTTTTTGAAATAGAAGTGTCTTTTTATATTGGGTGTGTCTTTTCAACACTAGACACAACCATTTATATGCCTCTTTTCATCACTGGACACAACCATTTATATGTGTTTGTTCATCACCAGACATATCCACTGCAATAGGTTGTAATGGTTCACATTGAATAGGTTATGTCTATTTGTTTCGAGTTGCATCTTTTCATCTCACAACTAACCAGTGATCATACCTATTCAGTCCAACACATCTGTTGATGACTAATCAAATAATTTTCATTCACAATTTCTAACAATCTCTCACATGAATGGAAATTGGCTGTTTAATTAAATACAAAAGATGATTATGCAGACACTAGAGAGAGTATATACGGAAAGTTACTGCATCATGATAGGTAGCTTTTGGTCTTGAACCTTGCTTAGTATATTACTATCAAATTTACTGGCTAACCTGTGAACGTGATATAATGTCTTAAACTGTTCAGTTGTTTGTGTAAACCAAGACAATAGCAAACACACAATATCGATCCTCACAAAGTTAGTCCTATTTTCTTTGTTGGCACATTCTTGGGAACTAGCTCCATTGCCTTGCCACACCCCCTATGTTTATAGACCCCTGATAGTTTTTACCAAGTTTAAGTTATTGTTAACAAATGTGTTGTGTTTGCATAATCATCTTTTGCATTTAAACAAACGGTTGTTGTTCTTCTCTAAATATAGTTGTTCTTTTCTAGCCAATTTCTTTTTTGCCAAATATGCTTTTAGTCTTATGCAAATGACCCTGAAAACCTGCCACTTTTTTTCATATTTAATGTTGAGGTCCATCAATAACATCTTCAATTTCTTTAATGATCGGCTTGAAAATATCAACTTTCGGCCGAACTAGCTTTATCAATAATTCTTTGATATTAGTACCAACTAGATTCTTCTTCATTGTCACAGCTGCTGGACGTCCCATTCTGTTATCTCCTACAAATTTGATAGGGACACATGCTTCATCATAAAGTCCAGCTTCAGCCAAGTACACCTTGGCTACAAAGGGTTTATTATCAACCTCTACAATTTTTACCTCGTTCCCATCCCAAAAAATCAACATTTGATGTAGTAATGATGGGATACACATATTGGGGTGAATCCAATCATGGCCTAATAGAAGATTATAGGCCCGGTACAAAGAAGAAAATGCTAATATAGTCTGGTTCACCGTGTATCTTGGAGGAACCCATGAAGTGCATCCAATATGGGACAATTGCTAAATCATACAATAAAAAATTAAAACGACATCCTGACTTGAAAAATTAAAAAGACTTGCCTTACAATTACTTCTTTTTTCATTGGCAAGAAACTCACACACCCATTTGTCCTTTGGGGACTCGAACCCTCACCTTCCCCATTGAGAGGTATAGGAGATACCACTAGTGGTGCAATTAGAGTTACTCACTACATAATATTAAGCACACCATGTTTAGAGATTGAGGCTCCATGAGGCATCCACCAATGCGCACACACACACACACAAACATAGGTAGAGGCTGCATGACACTTCTGATCCTCCTCAGTTGTGACAATTAAGGGGGAGCCATGCTTGTAAAATCCTATGAAATATTAATACATTCTACAATTTAAATTCTTGCTGAATTAATAGAGTGATTTGAACCAGGAAGAATAGGGAATCATTAACCTTTTTTTTTTTTTTGACAAGTAACAATCATTAAGTTCGACGCAATGCATCCAAAAAAAAGGCAGTCAATTTTTACCCAGAAAAAAGGGCCCCTGGGCTACACAAGTATTAAGACAATTGTCATTGTTAAGAAGATATTAAGTTGTTTTATGACTTGATAATCCTTTCACTGGATTATGGTAATCACTGAGAGAGGCGGGTGGAGGGCTGTGGAGAGAGATTGCAATATCAGAACAACCTACAGAATCATCCCAACCAGCCTACTGAATACCTTATGCGGATTCTCCGCACAGAAGGACGCAAGCCAGGATACAAGAAAGCAACTTCAACCAGCAAATGGGAGGGCAACTATAAGTATTTTCAGAAGGCAAATGAACTTAGCATTAAAGGAAGAAAAATCAAGTGAGAATTTTGCAGGATGGAAAATGACACTCGAGGCGTAGCATCTTCATTGGATTCTGTAATATTAATGGAATAAAGCAGAAACAAGAGGGAGCCCATAGCTTGCAGAACATAGTGTTTGAACAATTAGCCATCAGGAAAGAAATGAAACCTGACCTTGTCATCAGTCAACATATAATGGCCACTATTAATACAGCTTACTTTAGCTGCCCGAAAGTTCATGGATTTCGCCACATCCTTTATTTTTTGTGATGAATTCTAACCATTGCAAAAGTGCAGAAAACATGTATCGATCAGATAGAGCAACAAAATATATTTATATTTCAGTAATTTTTACACACTTAAGGCAGTTTAGGGATATAACCTTGTAAAGAAACCTGCCAACAGGATAAAATCTCATGTATCTGAAGTAGCAGACCTGCAATACCAGATGATAAATTTAGAACAATGGCAGCAATGAGAACTAGGCAACAAGTACCACCAACCAATGCTGAAATCCTTATGAGACCATCACATGTGGGTTTCTGGCATTGACCTATTCTTTAAGACCACCTTCCATAAAATGATACATATTCCTATTAAAAACTCTCATTCCCACTAATTACTGTGAGGTTCTGTGATTAAAGAATGAGTCCAACGCAACAATGGTAGAATGGCTCAACTGAAGGCATGAATTTAATGACATAGGTTAACTTCAGAAAACATACCAAGAGAATAAAAAATAAATACACGACAACAACAAAAAAGATGAAGAAACATTTTATTTTAAAAGCTTCTCAAATGTTAAGATTAATTATATGACAACATTATATTTTCAGTTTTTGAAGGCAAGACCACTTTAAGTTAGTCAATAAAGAAGTTTTACTACCAAAGGTTGTGTACCTAGTGGTATTTCCTCTACCTTTCAAAGGGGATGGTAAGAGTTCAACTCCTGTATGGACAAATGGGTGTGTGAGTTTCTTGCTAATGAAAAAAAAAAAAATTTACTACGTAATAATTTAAAAACTCAATTGTCAACCCCAGTGCCTGGTTCAACCTTATGATTCTAAATTGTTAATCTAGTATTAATCTGGAAGAAAAATAAGGCAGTGGTTTGGCTTGCATTGTCACAACCTGAATCATTTTATTTCAAAATTCTCCTTAGGTAAACCTTATACAAAATTTTACTGGTACCTTTCCTTTGAAGCGGGAAAAAAGTCTATATGAGTTTTACATGCCAAGCTATAACATAGAGAGAGAAGAGAAATATACCACATGAACTGGATTGGTAATCTTCCACTCCGTAACTCCAGCACGAATGTAGGTGTTCCTACTGACATAAAGACCTGATGAAGGAAACGAAGACTCAGTACCAGTCATCCAAGACAAACATAGACTCGAAGTCACTTAAAAATAAATTCCTAGAATCATGAAGTCCAAGTTTGGTGCTGAGGCTACACTCTACATAACCATGAAACTCAAATTTTTAGCATTTTAAAGCACATGCATTTGGCAATTCAGGCATGAAACTAATGTTGGATGCACTCTGATTTTGGTCATGAAGCAATAAGCAATCATACTACTTCAATTTTATAATAAAAAGGCAAAGGTACCCCTTGAGAGGAACGTGGTCACCCCCTTCCTCTCCCTTTTTCTTTGAAATGGAAAGAACACCTACTAAAACATAAGACCTTAAGCTTCCAGGATACACCAAGTCCTTACACAGACAAATTATGGCTTACACATCCGCAAAACATGGTCAAAACTATGCTTATAAAATATTGAGGATGAAATTTGAAAAAGGAAAAATAAAAGGTAGAATGATAAAAATGACGTATTAAAAGATGGAACATGATTAAAACAAGCTCGCAGATGTATATCGGAGAGAGAGAGCACAGGGAAAAAAAAAGGGAATATATATATAAGCACATACATACATATATATAAATATATATATATATATATATATATATATTGTTAGAATGTATATTCTTTATAGTGTTGGTTCATTATGTAATTACCCATAGTAGTTAGGGTTATTGTGTAATTATGTAATTAGGGTCTCTAACCCTTTTCTTATATAAGCCTTATTTAGAGGGCTACAGATAGACAATACAGAGGATACATTTTTCTCTCAATCTCTCTCTCTTTCTCTCCCTATCTCTCATGAATTTGAACATGGTATCAGAGCGGTATAAATTCATGGGTGTGGGAAACAATAACTGTGTTGCCCTTGTATGAGAGCAACTGGAATCGTGAGTATATCGTCGGAATCTTTGTCGGAAGTTCGTGTCGCCGGTAGGTTGAGAACATCACCTATAATCACCATCGTCCTTAGTCGCAGTCAGATCTGAAGCCCATCGTCGTCATCGTCAGATCTGCAGCCTCCTTCGTCGTCGTCAGATCTGAAGCCCCTTGGCCGCTTGTGTTGTTGCCACGTTGATCGTTAGCAAGCTCGCCGACACCCACTGTCGTTGTTGGTAGAGGTGAAGCTTCATCGATTCGCCCTTTTTTTCTTGGTCGGAAGTTGCGGAGGTTGTGTGGTGTCGCCGCTGTGTGCTCGCCGGAGTCTGTTAGTGGGGTTGTGAAGGAGAACAGCCCTGTTTGGTTGCGTAGCTACACTATTCCAATCCTGGTTTACTAAAACTGGGATAACAGAGACTTGTTTTGATCTAATCCAGTTAACCAGATCCGATCCGGTTCCCGATCCGACCCGGTTCCAGACCCGGCCTAGATCCGACCCAGTTCCGACCCGATTCCAGATTCTACCTGGTTCCGATTCTGCATTTTTCCCAGGTTTATTTTTTTTTTTAATTTACTCCATGGCTTCCAATTCAGATCTCCTATCTCCTGCATCCTTTAATCCTCCCATGACTTCAGTCAAGCTTAATGGAAAAAATTACATTTTACGGGCCAAGTCAGTGGCCATTTTCCTGAAAGCCAAAGGCTTTGGCAATCATTTGGTTCAAGATAAACCCAAAAGCAGTGATGCTAATTTTAGTTCATGGGAACAAAGGGATGCTCAGATCATCTCCTTAATGTTGAATTGTATTGAACCTCATATTAGCTCCAACTTGTTATATCTGGACACTGCCAAGGAGATATGGACCCGACTCCAATAGTTATATTCTAGTGATGGTAATATAACCAGAGTTTATGAGGTGTGTAGACAATTTTTTGATCTCCAACAAGGGACTCACAGTTTAGAAGAATACCTCTCACGAGCAATGGGACTGTGTGAAGAAATGAATATGTATCAACCTATCACCTCTGATGTGAAAAGCATACAGCGACAACGTGAGGATTTTAATGTTGTTCGGGTTCTCACAGGATTGTCATAAGAGTATGAACCTGTTCGTGCACAGATTTTGGGTAGCCCTACACTTCCCTCTCTACCTGACATGTTATCCAGACTCCAGCGTGCCACTTTATCTAGTGGCTTTTCAGGCAGTACTTCCAGTGGTGTCACTGCTCCTTCTAACGGTGAACGTTCTGCCTTAGTTGTGAACCAGGGTGGCTTTCAGTCTTCTCGTGGAGGTGGTGGTAGTGGTCGTTTCGGCCGTGGCCGTGGTCGAGGCAAAGGCAGAGACTCAAAAATTTGCACTCACTGCGGTCTTACTAATCACACGGTCAATTACTGTTGGGATCTTCACGGGAAACCGCCATCTTCTTCCTATGCACATCAAGTGACTGCTAGTGATGGGGATTCTTCTCTCTCTGCCACATCCACTGCTCCACATGTGGTTGTTGAGACTGCTATGGTCACGATTCCCCATAATGAGTATGCTTAATTTCTGTCTTAACAACGGACTTCCACCTCATCTTCCATGGGGTCCTTGGCTCAATCAGGTAGTGCCCCTGCATGTTTTTTGTCCTCTAGTCAGAGTCCCTGGATTCTTGACTCTGGCGCATCCGATCACATGACTGGTAGTTCTCATCTCCTATCTGATTTTCAGTCTGTTCCTTCCTCTCAAAGTGTTACTCTTGCTAATGGATCATCAACTAAAGTCTTGGGTTTGGGAACTGTTCATCTTACCCCTTCTATGTCCCTTTCCTCTGTGTTATATGTTCCTCAATTCCCTTTTAATTTGTTGTCCATTAGCAAAATTACTAAATCTCTTAACTGTTCTGTAACATTTTATCCCACATGTTGTCGTTTTTAAGATCTCAAGACAAAGAAGAGGATTGGTATGGGACATGAAGTAGGTGGCTTGTATTACTTCGATCTTGCACCATCTCCCACGGCTCTTCAATCATCTTTGTCTTCTTTCCAGTGGCACTGTCGTCTCGGCCATCCCTCACTATCAGTTCTGTAGTGTCAAGTTCCCGATCTTATTCATGTTAAGTTTCTGTCTTGTGAAACATGTCAGCTTAGTAAGCATTGTCGTGTATCTTTTAAGCTAAGAGCTAATTATCGTGTGGCTAGTCCTTTCCAATTAGTTCATTTAGATGTATGGGGACCAATAAAACATATTTCTATTAATGGATTTCATTATTTTGTGACTTTTGTGGATGATTATTCTTGGATGACTTGGTTGTTTTTAATGAAAAATCGTTCTGAGTTGTTTTCTATTTTTCAAATATTTCGCAAAGAAATCAAAACTCAATTTGGGTGCTCCATTAAAGTTTTACGTTCTGACAATGCCAAAGAATATTTCTCGAACCCTTTTGAGACTTATTTTCATGCCAAAGGCATCAGTCATCAATCCTCTTGTACTTATACTCCGCAACAAAACGGAGTAGGTAAGCGTAAAAATCGCCATCTTCTGGAAGTCTGTCGTGCCATTTTATTTTATATGCATGTTCCCAAACATTTTTGGAGTGATGCTGTTCTTACGGCATGTCATCTTATTAATAGGATGCCCTCATCAGTGCTACACGGTAAATCTCCTCACTCTGTTCTATTTCTCGACTCCGTATCGTTTAATCTGACTCCGCGGGTTTTTAGCTGTGTGTGTTTTGTCCATAACCTTGGACCTGGTCTTGATAAACTCGACCCGCGTGCAACTAAATGTGTTTTTCTTAGGTATTCACCCACTCAGAAGGGCTATCGGTGTTACAGTCCTCATTTCCAACGCTATTTCACTAGTGCTGATGTAACATTTTCTGAGTCTATCCCATATTTTTCTGATTCTACTAGTCCTCTCGATATTACTTCTGAGCCACCTCTGCCATCGGTTCCCTCTCAGTTTCCTATTTCCACACCTCCTCGATCTGCTGTTCAATTGCAGGTCAATGCCCTCGACCGCCTACTTCGCTCCCTCCATCTCCTTCAGAGTCTTCGGATCCGACACCTTTACCTGGTGATTTGCTTATTGCCCTTCGTAAAGGTATTCGGTCGTGTGTTACTGCTCATCCCATTTCTAACTTTGTCTCCTATCGTCATATTTCATCCTCTTTATCTTGTTTTTTATCCAAAGTATCAGCTAGTTTTGTTCCAAAGACATTGCAGGATGCTCTCTCTGATTTGGGTTGGCAGCAAGCCATGGCAGATGAAATGGATGCCCTTCATCGTAATGGAACATGGGATCTTGTTCCCTTACCTCTGGGCTCCAAACCAGTTGGTTGTAAGTGGGTCTATACAGTTAAATACCTTTAAGATGGGTCTATTGAGTGGTTGAAGGCTCGTCTAGTGGCAAAGGGGTACACTCAAACTTATGGTGTTGACTATGACGAGACTTTTTCTCCTGTTGCTAAGATTTATTCTCTTCGGATTCTTATTTCCATTGCTGCGAATTGTAATTGGCCGTTGTTCCAATTAGATGTCAAAAATGCCTTCTTACATGGTGACTTGGTTGAAGAAGTTTATATGGAGCAACCACCTGGGTTTGTTGCTCAGGGGGAGTCTCGTCACACTGTTTGTCGCCTTAAAAAGGCCCTGTATGAATTGAAACAATCTCCACGGGTTTGGTTTGGGAAATTCTCTGAGGCAGCATTAGAATTTGGTCTTACCAGATGCCAGACCGATCATTCGGTATTTCACCTATGCACTAAAGCTAGCTTCATCTTTCTTATGGTGTATGTAGATGATATTGTGATCACAGGTGATGATTCTGCAGGCATTGCTAAGTTGAAGTTGTTTCTGCAAAATCAGTTCCACACTAAAGACTTGGGTAAACTTAGATACTTCTTGGGTATTGAAGTTGCTAGATCCAAGGAAAGTATAAGTTTATCTCAATGAAAATATGTGTTAGATTTGCTAGAAGAAACGGGGTATGTTAGGTGGTCGTCCGGTTGATGCTCCTATGGATTCAAATACAAAACTTTTGTCTGATGTGGGTGATCTATTTAATAACCCAGGCAGATTTCGTCGCCTTGTTGGGAAATTAATTTACCTCACTATCACT